CGAGCTGCCCCCGCCTCACAGCTGGCGCCCCTTCACCGCGCCCCGCCCCGGCTAGGGCCGCCACGCCCCCACACCCACGCCGCGTGCCCACGCTCGCCAAGACCCCCCCCAGCCCCGCCCTCCGACCATCGCAGCAGCGGATACGCGCGACGTGTAGTGCTCTGATCGCAGAGATTAAACGACAGCCCCCGTCAGTGCTCGCGGGGAGGTGAAGTCAGACCTCTGCTAGCTGCCCCCCGCAGACAGGTATGTGTCTGGGCCGTCCGTGCAGCCTCCGCGGCCAGTGTGAGAGCAAAGGTCTGTGCTCGCAGCCCTCGTTCGAGGCGTCAGGAGGCGCCTTGTTTTTCCTTTTAAATCCGTGCGCTCGGTGATTTGCGCTCAGGCTGTTCTATTTGCGAAGCAACCCGTTCCCAGCCCCGCTGTCTGTCCCCACCTCAGCCCTGTCCTCCGGTCGGCCGCGGCGTGTTTTCCCGGCCATTGCGCCGCGAAGCTTGCCACGCGGACCCTCCCCGCTGTCCCAAGCCTACGCCGAGGTCGCAACCACAGACCCCGGCGCGGCTGCGTCTGCAGGCGCGGCCAAGGGCCGGGAGCTGCGTCCCCGCGCGGTCCCCAGCGCCGCCTCTCGGCTCCCGTGCTCCCCACTTACCCGGATTCACTCCACACTGTGGCTTGGGGAGCTCCCTCCCTGCGGAACCGCCCCGCCCCACGCCCGCGAACCAGGTGGGCTCCCCGGCTCCTCGCAGACCCTCGGGCCAGCCTCGGCCGCCGCCCCCACCCCCCGCCTCGGGCGCGTCCCCAAGGGCCTCGGAGGGAGGTGGGGGAAGGGCGGGGAGAGCCCAGGCGCGCGGAGCAGGGGGAAGGAGCGGCTCGGGAGCCGTAGCGCGCCTCCCTTCCCGCGGCCCCGCGCCGGGACGCGGCGACCGCGAGCTGTACCGGTGGCGGGGGTGCCCACGGCCGGCGGCAGGGCGGCTGGCTCTCCCGCGTCGAGGCTAGGCGCGCTCCCATCCCCGCCGCATGTTCTCCGCGCGGGCTCCAGCGCGCTCACCGCGGCCACCGCCGGCGTCGCGGCTTTATTTACCCAGACGGGCGCGCGCGGCCCGGGAACAGGAATAGCTAGGCCTTCTCATGTTTCCTGACTGCCCGGCCCAGCCGGCGAACATCCTGCGGTCGCGGTATCCACGTTCCCGGGCCGGCGAGAGGAAGCCTCCGCGGGGACCGCTGTTAACCCTCGCGGAGGAGCCGCCGGGCAGCCCCCGGCCCGCCCCCGGGCAGCCCCCGGCCCGCCGAGTGCTCCGCAGCCGGGCGCGGCTCCCAGAGCTGCCGGCCTCGCAGGCGCGCAACGAAAGGGGCGATGGCCTTCGCACTTCGGGGAGCGACTGGAGGAGCCGCAGCAGCGCCCGGCGCGGGCTCTGGGAGATGAGCGGCTGCGGTGCAGATCCCGTGTCTTGGCCGCACCGAGCGCCGGAAATTTCACCACGCGTGGCTAGGCTGGAGGGGGCACTGCGACGCGCCCTTTTTTCTCCTCGCGGTTAGCTGGAGGGAGGTTAGTTAGAGCTCGGTTTATGCCCGTAACGCGTGAGAACCGGTTGCAGAAGGTGCTTGCGCCCCATTTCTCGTGTCACTGGGCTTCTGCGGTCCTGGGTGTCTCCAAGCCAGGCACGCAGTCACCTTCCAGAGCCCGCGCTGGAGAGGAGGGAGGCAACGAGGGGTCGAGGCGGGCCCGGGTACTCAACCCACGGCGACCCAGGTGTGGGAGAGTCGGCGAGTGCAGGCAGGGCCAGGATCTGCATGGAGCAAAGGGGAGGGAACTTGGAAGAATCCCGAGCCTGGACACAGTGCAAGGGGAGAGAATCCTGTCAGATTCTCTTAGAGGTGATACTTGCCTTCCCACTATCACCCCAAATATGAGAGTAGCGAAAGCTGTGGTTTAGGTGTCACTGGAAGCTCGGAGCTTCTCGCAGCCTAGGTGATCCTCGCGGCGCCGAGCGCACCAAGCCGCCCGCGTTCTCGCCGCAGGCCTCGCTGCGGCAGCGACACCTTTCATCTCTTTTTAAAGAGCAAAAATAGATTTCCTCCAAACCTGAAAATTATGACATCATTTGTTCTTTTCTCCCCTAGGGGTGGCTGGCCATCCTGGCGCGGTGGCCCACCTAAGCCGCTTCCTTTTATTTGGCCTGGAAGTGGTTAAAATGTACAGTAGTAAATCTGTTATTTCCAACACTAATCGCCCCTGAATTTTCCATTATGTTATACCCCAAAAATGTGACTGCACACCGGGCAGGGGCACAATCTAAAGCAGAAGGAGTCGTGGGTTTAAATTTTTGCGCATCTGGCAGATAAATATTGTCGTTTGATCCTGTTTCCAGATGTCCTTGGTTCTATTCTATCATAAGGTTTGCGGTTGTGGCGCTGCCGCATCTTGCCCTTGGCGCTGCACTTGACTTCTGCAGGGTGGGTTCAGTGCAGACGTGCGTCTGCAGACGTCGCCGTGGGGACTTAAAGTCAGGGATGCATCATAAAATTTCAGCCACCGACTTGCAGCGAATAAGTTTCACAACAAAAGCAGATCTAATTTATAATTCAGAGGAGGAGAGAGATTGGTTCTCTTCTAAAGACTCTGTGACTGGTGGTGGTCACCAGACGTTATAATGAAACCAACTGTAACACGCCCCTCTGACATTTATTTTGCTCAGCTGTGCTGGATAAAGCACCAGGCATGTATGCCGTTGCTAGCAATTTCACAGCATTCTACTGGCTTACCTAGCTGTTTGCTGTAGTATATAGGCCAGTAGAGGACAAGTGAATTTTGTGGTTTTAGTCTTAACTGTATTTACTCAACTTTAAAATGCATTTTGAGGACTTTGATTTAAGGCATTTTTACATGTAATATCATTACAAACCTGATATATACAGCAAAAAGTCTTTCTGCAAAATATTTTAAATTTGTTATAGGAATAACATACACCTTAGTCTCAAATTAAGTCACTGAAAAATTAATACATTTTAATTCATTTAGACTGTAGTTTAATAATTAGAGTCCATTTAAAAAAATGAAAGAACAATGGAGGGTCCATTTTAAAATGAAATAGTGTGGAGAATCCCTCTCTCATATACAAATGAGCATCTATTGTGTGATAGACCAGAATTTTATTTTTGCAAGTGTCACCCTCTATGCAAGAGAGAAATTCCTTCTTCCTTTTAATGCACAATACAAAGCCATTTATCATTATCTTAAATTTCATCTTTTCCTAAAATGAATTTTACTCAGCTTCTTTTGCTATATTCCAGTCTCAGTATGTGAAATACTGTATTATAAGCCTCAGAAGTAAAGCTTTCAGTTTTAGAAAGCACTATCAGAAGATTTAAGAAAGTGTATGTAGTTTGTGGGCATCGGCCATATATGGGGGAAAAAAACCAAAACTTAGGCTACAAGTCACAAGACTTGAGCCCTAATCTTAATTCTGATTAATTTGATGTTGGTTTAGGCTGAATCTACTGAAGTGTAAAATGAAGATATTTAGTTTTCCACAAACTTGCCTTACGCTACTAAGATATTTTTTTTCAATGTGAAAGTAACAATTGCTATTGCTAAAACTCGAAAAATGTTAAGTAAGAGCATTTGGCAGAAATCTTAATCCAGTCTATTGGACTTTGAGTGTAGTTATAAATGTAAGTAATGTTAACTTTCTAATAAAGAAAAAAATAAGAAGCCTACATTTTAAGCCTTTTGCCGTTTTACCAAGGAACCTGACATTTCAGAGCAAATATTGGTCAAAGTTTCTGAAAATAATGATTGCTTTTAAACTCTCTTTTCCAGTTATTACTTATAAGCAATG